AGGAAGGGCCGCGGCGCGGAGCTGAGCCTCGTACTCCGCCAGGCCGCGTCCCAGCGCCCCGCCGCCCAGGATCTTCCTGGGGAGCCCAGCCTTAGGACCAGGAGCCGGGGGCGGCCCCTCAGCTCGCTGCCCAAAGAGAAGACCTCTGAGAAAAAGGCCAAAGGGGGCAAGAGGAAGACGGCCTCGGACCCGGGGGAGGAGAGACCCATGGGGACCGGGCCCAACCCCGACGGGCTGGGCGACAGCGAGAACGCGGAGCTGACGGAGACCTACTGCGCCGAGAAGTGGCGCTCGGTCTGCAACTTCTTCGTCAATTTCTGGAACGGTTGAGGGGCTGCTGGCCTGCGGGGAGACGGGGCGGGGAAGCTAACGGCAACGTAGACCGAGGGCCACCTGCATAGAACGAGGAGGAGTCTAGATTCTAAAGCGGGCAGGGGGTGGGTGGGGATCTCTGAGGCAGAGAAAGGTTTTGAAGGTCTCTAACAGCAGAAGAAATAGTAGGAGCAAGATAGGCTTACATTAAATTTGCCAGAACTACAGTGGTGCAGAGAGGCAGAGCAGAGGGAAGTAGGAGTGACTAAAGCAATAGGAATCGTGGGAAGCAAGATGCAATGTATTTTAACACATTTATATTAAAATGTAGTGGTGAGTATTAGATAACTTGAGCCAGGTTGAATTGGTCAATGTCTTACCTATTCTGCTGACACGATGACAGATCGACCCCCTTCTGTATCGGTGTGAACTTCAGGGTGGCTTGGTGTGTGTCATAGATGACTTCTGTGGAAACACAATTTTCTGTGACCTCATGGATCAAAACTGCCTTCGAGAAAATATTTTCAGGAGGCTTGCCTTTCAATTCTTTTAAAATTGCATTTTTTTTAAAGCAGAGCAATGCCTAATTTTTGAAACCTCCCATTAACCACGAAAATTCAGAAGTGAATTGTAGAAGTTGGGTACTCTGATAGGGTTTTTTGAAGGGGATATGGGGATCGAACTCAGAACCTTGTGCTTGTGAGGCAGGTGTGGGGCCACTGAGCTAAATCGCCAGCCCTAGGTCTTTTTTTTTTCTTTTCTTTTCTTTGGTAAACAAGTCTCTATATTTAACCATCCTTTAAAAAATGGCTAAAATATGTGTGTCAGTCATTTTGACCATTCTTTCTTTAATGTAATCAATGCATCTCACTTTTAATGTGGTATGATGACCAACTTTCACTTGTTAGGTGCTCAATAAAAACCGGCTAGATTTAAAGAACTGGCAAGGCAATGGAAATTCCACCTGCATTTTTTAGCTACTTCCAAATGCACTTTGAATTAAGTTTTTAAACACATCTTGAATTTTTGGGAAATTAAAAAGACTGCATAAGGAAAGCGTCACAAACAGGCAGCAATTGTTCTGCACAAGGTTCTTTCTCTTTTAGTCTCTCTTCCTTCCTGTTGTCTACTACCTCCTTTCCTCCCTGGCCCTTCCTTCCCTCTTCCAATTGGGATTAGTTGCCTGCATTTAAAAATCATATACTTTTATACAAAGATCCTGATTTCTGGTTCTTTTGCAAAATTGGCAGATCTGGCAATGATGGATCTACCTTCCCCCATGGTAATAACTTGCTGGCTGTTGACTGGCTCTCTTTAGGTGTGTTTTCTAGAGTTCACCATCATTCCTGCGTCTTAAAGTTGGATCAATCAATTTCATTAGTTTATATTACTAGCCTGAACCCACACGACATTGAAGCCCACTAGGTATAAATCTTTTACCTTTTTCATGACCTTCTATTCTCATCTCCTCCCCTTTTAACATAGTGGTAAATGCGACAATCTTATTTTGACTTTTTCCTCTTTGATCTGCCTCCAAGAAATGTGAAACATTTGATACTTATTCTATACATTCTTATATCACACAGTCTCAATACTCAGATTGAACATGGTTTCTGGAAAGTCTTATAAAATCACTTTCTGAGTAACACTGACCCTTAGATTATATTCATGGCCCAGGAGAGGAAGCTCAGGGTAGCTGGAGACCACTTCCCAAGGATATGGACCAACACAGACATTCTGTAAAAGGTTGGCAAAAAACAATGTCATCAGAAAAGGATATTGAAAATGAAGCTACACTGTCTAGAACTATGGCCAGAATCATAGTTTTACCTCTTTATGCAAGAACTGCCAATTCTTGTGTGTTCTCTGGCAGTCTGATGAACTTTTCTGTAAGAAAAAACCAAAGGCCAAACTCTGCAGGCCCAAGCACAAGGGCCTTCCATTTCTTTACTCCTAAGAGGAGTGTGCACCAGGACTGTGTCTCAGGAGCAAAGAGGGATGCACAGGAATTGGCTGCTCACAGTGGAAGGGAAATGGACAGACCTCATCAATTCCTGGAGTGACCTCACTAAATCCAAGTGTCTCTCTTACATTCAAGGGAGTTAGGCTGTTTAAAACTGAGGTTCTGCCAGGCATAGAGGGATAGGACTGTAATCTCAGCACTCTGGGAAGCTAAGGCAGTAGGACTGCAAGTTTGAGCACAGCCTGGGCAACATGATTTAGTGAAACCTTGTCTCAAAAACAAACACAAACAACAGGGCTGCAGAGTAGCTTGGTGCAAAGACCCTGGGTTCAATCCCTAGTACCAAGAAAAAACAAACACCCCCAGGTTTCTTAAGTACATTACTAGCACTCTGGAACCTATACACAGTTTTACATAGAGATAGAAACATGTGAAGATCTTAAGTGCACTATATAGATGCAATGATGGAAAACCTTTTGGAGACCAAGCGTCCAAGCTGCAACACAAAACTCATTTATTTACTGCAAAGGGCCAACACCACAAAGTACCAAATCTGCATTCTGAGGTTTTAATTTAGAAAAAAACCAACCCATACCTTAATATCTTTTGTCTTAAAAACACAGTAGCACACGTGCCATACATAGGTTTGCCACCCCTGGAGAGTGTCTCCACTAAGCAAAATCTTTTTAATCTTCATGATTCTCTAAGCTCGCTCTTTATAGTTTGCCCTGCACTCCAACATGTGAAGTCCCTTAAAACAATACTTCATTCAGTGATTCATGATTTAATTAAAATCCAGATCAGTAACAGTGCCTTGGGAAACTATATTAGAGCATGAAGCAAAAGGAAAACTAGTAATAATGATCACATCTTTATTTGAAATTTTGTCATGGATTTCTTTGTGTAGTTTTGTTATTTTAGCAAGGCAGAGTCACACCTGTAATCCCAGCACTTGGGAGAATGAGCGAGTAGGACTGCTTTGAGTTCAGGGCCATCCTGGACTACACTGTGAGTTCCAGGCCAGCCTGCACTACTGAGAAAGACCCTGTATCAAAAAAATTAAAATAAAATAATTTAAAATCACATTATACTATCATTAATGTTAGTGGGATATGGTGATAGATGCCTGTAATCTAGCACTCTGGAAGGTTGAGACAGGAGGTTCAAAGTTCAAACCCAGATTTGGCAATTTAGTGACTGAGACCCCCTTTTTTTTTTAATTGAGTTTATTGGTACAATCTAGGTATACAATACAGTTACATTCATCATTGGGATTCTGTACCTTTACATAATAGGTCTTGATTCTCATTTTTTCCCCTTGTCCCTTCCCTCCCTTCACCCCCTCCT